ATCTCTGGCAGGTAAATAACTTACTCTCTGCCCAGTTTTCCCTTAGTGCCCTTTAGTGTAATGATAATTAAATGCAAAGTGCTTAGAACAGTGCCTGGTACTTAAGAAACACACTACCAATGTCACCTACTTTAATTATGCAATTACTATTGTTATAAGAAATAGCATCCCATCTTAGGCAACTCATTACAAATCCTGATAACATTGAGATTTCAATTTACCTTACTACTGAGCTTGAACATTAAGAAAGCTGGGCTCAATATGTTATTAGCCTCAGTGTTTATCCTATATTTATTCCATTCACAATGAGATTTTCTCTACTTGAGTCATTATTAGTTTCTCTCCTGACTCATCACATAGAAAGGTAGACTGTCTGGAACATAATGGCAATACCAAAAAACATTTGTAAAGTATACTAAGTGGAACAAGATCTATGCGATATTTAGTAAATATACTAAATAATTATGACTTAAATTGTGTTCATGTCAAAGTGTTTTCTATATTTTAAATGCTCCTTTTCCCTCCCTTTTACATCCCGAGTTCAAATTATGGAGGAGTAACCCATCCTGACAGAAAAATAATACATCATTAAGTAATATCAAAGTTCCTAGTTTTGGACCACTAACCAAAAATAAAATTACATTTTGCTGATAGTCTGATGTGCAAAATTTTGCCAAGTAAACTATAGATAAAATGATCAGAAAGCAATCTCTAAGCCTATAAATTTGATCTTAATTTCTATTCAATTCCATGCTTTCACTGTTTCTTCAAATGTTTAATTTATATTTAAATAAAAAGTTTTTTTTAAAAAAAAGCCTAGGGAGGGCTGGGGTTGTGGCTCAGCAGTAGTGCACTCGCCTAGCATGTACAAGGCGCTGGATTCGATCCTTAGCATCACATAAAAGTAAATGAATAAAGTAAAGGTATTGTGTCCAACTACAACAATAAATCAATAAATAAATAAATAAATAAACAAACAAACCTAGGAAAATGTTAAATAATGCAAAATAGGTTAATTCTTTAAAATTTCCCTTTTCCCCAATGCATGTGCGTGCACATGCACATACATAAAACCACACAGAACATTTAAAATTGTGCTTTATCGCTTTCTATGCAATCTTTTTAACTGACATATAAGAATTGTATATATTTATGTCTGTGATCTTGAGTCATTTAAGCTCTAAAAGTCTCCATTTTCTCCTCTGAAAATGGGGGGGAAAGAGTGTAATTATCACGTGAGATTGCATCGAGCATTAAAAAAGTACATAAAGCACTTTAGCCAAGAACTATGCAAAAATGCTTTAATACGTTAACTTTTATACTTCAATGCTACTCCTACCTATGGAAAGATTATATTTTCTATGGCAATCACATCCACTAATTCATTCATGCAAACCTACTACTCAACAGCAGTAACTTCACAAGCACTCTGAGAACCAATTACTGAGGAAGACCTCTTCAACTATCCCTCTTTATTGAGTTAGGTACCCTGATCAGGGACTGGGCTATACTACTCCTTATGGTATTTATCTGTTTCCTTATTTTGCTTGAAAGAACACCTTGTTAAAAATGCCTGTGTTCATTTTGGTATCCCTAATTATAGTCCAATAGTTCTTAACCCTGACTCACTTTAGAATTACATTGAGAGCTTATAAAAGTATCAATGCCTGGGATCCATTCCAGGTGCATTAAATCATAAGGGAGTGGGAATGGGTAGTGGAGAGGGTAAAAAAATCAGCACGGGGGAGATCCACACATGATATCAATGTGTGGATCTGCAATCTGATGCTTACAATACTATATTTATGTATGTGAGGATATACATATAAACATAGATATAGAAATATTCATGATTCAAGTCAAAACTCTCAACCTCAATAGCTTCTCCCAACCCTATCATCTCTTGCCTTTAAACAAAATATTTATAATGAATAATCAATTCCATGCTGTACTCCAATGGCTTTTAAACTGTTAACTCACTACTTAAGTTTTTCATATAACTATGTCTTATGTCTTCTTTCTAGATTACAGTCTTGCTTCTTAAGAACATACACTACCTTATTCTTCTTGTTTCTTCCAGTGCTTATTAGGACAGTGCCTTGAACACAGACATGTAATAAACATTTGCCTAATCTGATAAACATACACAAAAATTATTGACAGGAAGTATGTCACATCCAAATTGTTCAATTTAGGCAAGCTGTTACCAAAAAAAAAAAAAAAAATCTTTTAGAAAATGAAAACCAAAATTTATCTTATTAAGGAGCAGCTGGATATTTAGACTTTTCTATGGTCGTCACACTCAGTACCTACCCTATATTCAAACCGCATCAGCCAGGGTGTTTTTGGCTTTTTGTTTTGTTTTGTTTTAATATTTATTTTTTAGTTGTACATAATACCTTTATTTTGCTTATTTGTTTTTATGTGGTGCTGAGGATCAAACCCAGGGCCTTGCACATGCTAGGCAAGTGCTCTACCACTGAGCCACAACCCCAACCCTATTTTGGTTTTTGATGGTACTGGCAGTTTCAGTTTTTAGCCTGCTTCCTTGCTAAACTATCTCCTAGCAGACTTTGTTACCTTTAGGTGCTGTCATACATCTTTACAACAATATTATGAAATACTCTAATGAGTTAATAAAAACCACAAGTGTTTCACACAGATGTTTAATGTGTATTTCCTAAAGGAACTTATCACTCACTAAAATAGGCTCTCTATACACAAACTACATACTATTCTAATACAAACTTGATTGGGAAAATTGAAAGTGGATCTTACTACACATTAGATAAAATGTAAGTGTACTTTTGACTCTTGACAGATTGGTGATTTTCATCCATCTGTAGTATTTTCAGTATCTGAAAAGTTTATAAAATGTAATATGTATAAAATGCAATATGCCTTTTTAAAACAGGAGTGCTTAAGAACCTCCACAGCAAGTGGCATTCTCACTTTGGAAACTACTAGAAGAAATGGCATATAATTCTAAAAAATCTAAAGACATGAAAATAATTTACCTTCAAAGTTTCCTGACATATTTCAGTAGTATTGACACAATATAAAAGACTTTTTTAAAAATATAGGGAGGAGGCTCTCAAGCCTGATAATTAGATACTGTGGTAAAATATTACCATGTTTTGTTGGGTCCCACAGCTTGAAACAGATAGAGCCATAGTTACCACTAAAAGAAAGCAGTCCTCAACTCCTTACTCAATTAAAAAAAAATTCCACACACAAAAAAGGGTGCCCAGGGTTGTTTTGTTTTAAGTAAGATTAAATTTAGGAGTTGCCAACACCCAAACGAAAAACATTCCAGAGAATTAGACTCAATTGTAGTGGGGAGTCATCTACATTCTCAGCACTAAGTTCTCTCACTCAAAGCAGGAGTACTAACAAAGGATGTTTCTTAGGATCTCACAAGATACACCCTACTTATTTCCCCTAGTAAACATTGCTCTTGTTTTGAATAAATACTTGAAAAATAATCTTAGCACAAGCAGCAGGACAAAAAGCAAATTTTAACATCTGCCAAGATATTTGCCAAAATAAGACCCCTGTCAGATGAACAATGAGTAAAGATTGAAAATGACAAATTCTCATATTTGGATCACAGCTTTTAAAAATAAAGTTGAGGAATGTAGGTTTTCCAAAGCCTTGTCTTCAATTTCCCCTTAATCTTCATATTTTTAAGTTAAAAAAAAAAAAAACCTGGAAATTTGATTACCACTCTTACGAATTCCTTTTAAAGTAATTTAATGAATAACAGATATTTTGTGCAAGTAGCAAACCACAAAGGACAGTTTGCTGGCTAATACAAATCTCTGAAACATTCATACAAAAATACACCCTACAAAGACATACTCTGATTTTCTGGGAATGGAATCATATTAATATCTAAAACTTTAGGTATACTTGATAATACACCCTAACTTATTACAAATGCTTTTATTTAAACCACAATTAAAGTTGGTAAATTCTTAATAGTTATTTAGTGTGTAGCAAAATTGAGTGAATTAGAAGGCAAGGAGTAAAATGAGGGGAAAAAGTGAAACCTGCAGAGCCAATGAGAAGGTATGCCTATTCTGGGAAAAAAAAAAAAAAAAAAACGTAGTTCAATCACTTCCCAAACATGATGAGCTACTGTTAAAATAATCCAAACTTGTTCAGGATTGTTTTGTTTCAGGTAGAGGTGTGATTATACACTCCGTAAAAGTATTTATCAGTCATCTAATGAGATGCTGCTGCTGACTGCAGAAATGTATGGAGACTAGTCAAAATCACCAAAAAAAAAAAAGAAAACAAAAAATACACGCCACCCCTACCACAAATGTTTTCCAGATATTTAAGTACAAAAAGAGAACTCTAAGCAAACAGCACTGTGAATTGCTGCAGCATCCCTAATGTCCTAAATATGACTGGGATGACTGGGGGTGGGGGAACTGTGATGGGGAGCACCACTTAAAAAGAGTGTGTGTGTGTGTAATATCATGCATATGTTCATTGGATACACTCATCATAGGCTCATTAAGATAAAGCTATCTTGGATATTGCTAAGGCCACATTTTCTTTACCGGTGCTTGTAAACATCAAGAGAAAGAGGAGATAATCTGATAACTTGAGACCGACACGTGGGAAACTAGAGTACGTCATCGTCACCACTAATCAATTTTCCTAACTGATCAAGCATAAACAGATAGGTCTAGGTAGGCAAGTCTCGGTCCAGAAGTTGTCTTTCTACCGCTCTAAACAAGTATGTATTCAGGATCTGAGACCTCATCCAGGAAGCTTGGAAAAGCACGTGTCCTACACTGTGGGTTTGGGGAACTTCCCAGGAAGTATTTGCTCAAAGCAAAACTCCATCACCCGCTGCCTGCCCAGCTCGGTCAAAGGATCAGCAGGACGAGTCAGGGAGAAACCTGGGCCCCGGGACCCAGGAGCCCTCGGGTGGAGGACGCCAGACGGTGGCGGCCCCGGGAACAGCATGGCCCCCGCCCGCTCACCTCTGCCGCGGGGATATTGACTACGCCGGTGGAGCGCCTCTTCTCCCGCAGCTTTCTCTTCTCAATCTGCCCCTTGCCTTTCCTGGCACTTGGGCCCGAGCTCCTGCCCTTCTCCGGGGCGCTATCCGGTTCCTCCTCGTCACCCCGAGGCGGCGGAGCTCCGGAGGCAGCGGCGGCGGGGGTCTCGTCCTCTGGCCGCCGCGGGCCGGGGACCGCCCGAGCCAGCGCGGTGGAGCCGACACTGCAGTTCACGCCCCCGGGGCCGGGGACAGCAGGTGCGGCCGAGCCGCCTGGGAGATTGTTGTTGAGCTCGTTGGCCGTGGCAGCCGCCGTCGAAGTGCCCACCGCCCCCGCCGGAGGCTTCCCGGCCGCGTCGCTGCTGCCCCCGCCCGGGGCTGAGGGGCCCGGGGGGTTCTGCTTGGCGCGCATCTTCTCGCGCTTCGCCTTCCACTCTTCCAGGAAGTCTGTGGTGCTGCCGCTGAGGCCGCTGCTGGTCCGGTAGCCACCGGTCGCCATATTCCCAGAGGGGCTGGCTCGGTGCTCACCTCAGACGGCCACCCGGGCTCCCAGCTCCTGGTCCCCGCCGCCGCCTCCTCCTTTCCGCAACCGCGAGGACGCAAGGAATAGGACCCACGGCGCGGGCGGCGGAAACTCCCCCAGCAGCAAGTGGGTCTGAAGAGAAACACAAAAGGGGGCGGGGAGGGGAGGCGTGAGGTCTTGGTCGGACCCAAAGGTCTGGCTCGCGTTCGCGCCCCTCCGAGTACCCCCAGAGCGCACCCACTCGTCTCCAACGGCGAGTGGACGCCGCCGTCCCCACCCTGCAAAGTTTCTCCGGAGCACCTACACCGCCGGCCCCGACGATCACCGCCCCTCGAGGGGAGGAGAGAGGGCGTGACCCCACCCCCGGCCCGACCGCCCCATCCCACCCGGGTCCGCGCCTGCGGGGGACGTGGGACCATGGCCAGACCCCGCCACCTGTCGGCCCAACTTAGCGCCCGCTCTGGCCACCGCCAGTCCGAGATCCTCGTCACCGACAACCCGACTCCCGGGTAAAGCCTCTAACCGGCTCGCGGAGGAGGCGGGGACGAAGCACGAGTCGAGTGCTGGTGGCCCGAGAGCAGCCCCTTACCTCCGAGGAGTTTGTGGGGGACTAGGAGCGGGACGGGGAGTGAGTACCCCGAGTGAGCCGAAGGTGCGGCGCGACCTCCGGACGCGCGGAAGGAACGCGGCAAACTCGCTGTCCTGCTTTCCCAAGTCCCTGACTAGAAGGGAGGGAAGAAGAAAGGGAGGGAGCGAGGGGCGGGAGGGGAGCCGAGCGGTGCCGAAGCGCGGGCGGAAAAGGCCGAGGGGCGCACGAGGGGCGCGGCTCCCGGTGAGGAGGAGGCAGTGTCCGGCGACGCCCCGCCCCCGGCACTCAGGTGCGCGGCGCCGGGCCAGCGGCAGCCTAGTGCCTTGCGCCAACCCTTCCCCCGGCCAGCCGCTCCCTGCCAGCGGCGGGTCGCACCGCACATTCCTGGGCCGCCAGCCGCGGGGCGACCGGCCTCCTTGGCGCTTGCGACTCTGGGGCGGGAACGGCACTCCAACGCCCCTCTCCCGGCTCCCCTCTCCTCCTCGCTAGTCTCCCGCCACTCTTCCTTTTAAGTACATAATTTTATTTGAACGAAAGTTTCGAATATTGCCAAGGGGGAAAGTGCGATCGACTTGTGAAGATTCAGGAGCTAACTGGCCAGGGTGAGAAAATACCCACTCGTTTCTCTTCTTGGTCGCTGACCCCTTTTGAAATGTCTTAGGATGGTGGACCTGAGGAAACCTAAGGAAACGCATGTCCTGGTGAAAAGGAATCGCCTAAAAAGAAAGGCTAAAACTGCCCCGTGAATTATTAAGAGAGTTTACTATTACCTTAGGCTTGCAGAAGTATCAAACCTCCTTTGGACACTTTATTTTATTGGTGATGCTGACCCTATTTGGAATGTTCCTCTTAACCATTCTATAGGCCTTCTCTTTCCAGAATAGTAAATTCAGCAGCAAAACTCCCTGTCAAAGTACGAAAGCTGCATTGATTTTGATTTGAAATGAGCTGGAGCGGTGATAGTCTCTATTTTTCCATCCTTACTTATCCTTACATTTACAAGATTTACAAGTTATTGAAGATTTCTGGATCAGGGCTGGGTGGGCTACCATGGGCAGACACCAGAGTAGACTGACTTCACTATATCCAAATAATATCAAATGTCAGGGCACATCATTGTTGTAAGCCCCAAATGCTAGGTCTCTGTTTTGTAAAAAGTAGGAAGGCCTGAGCCACACTCTTCCCTAACAAAAACTGTTTGTCCTACTTAATATTTGGACCTGGTAGTATATGGAAGGTGGGTAATCAATGTGTGCCTGCTGTGGGAATGAGAAAATGATTCACATGCCCTGTATTTGTCAAAGACAAAGTCACACAGTTCTGGGCTTTGGTCTGACTGTTGGGGTTCTGGAAAATTCAGTGGAAAATTAAAGGCCTTCCTTGGGAATAGGTTTAAATGGCTGAGTGGCCATTTGCCTACCTGGTATCTACCTAGGTGCACCACCTGAAATTTCTCAATTACAGATTCACTACTTTGTTTTATGAGTTTTAAGATGGGGAAAAGGGGATTTGAGTATTAAATGTATGCAGATTAATGGGCTTTCATAACTTCTCTGAGGATTTTCTCTTTGAGGGGCTGTAGGATATAGTAGAAAGATGATATAGTAGAAAGATGATATAGTCAGTATGGGTACAAACATGTTAAATACCTGCAAGATCTTGAGCATATGTTAAAATTCTCTGAAACTCAGCAGCTTTCTTGACTATAAAATCAGCAATAATGACTTATTTTAAAGTGATACTGCAAGTAGAATGTGCTTTGTTCAGGAAGGCACTCAACATAGTACCTCCTATTAATAAGATAGCAGTTAGAATCTTGGGTTTCTAAGAAGTGTCTGGAGATGGTTAAAAAAAAAAATGAGGGACTGAATATACAATATTAACCTGAAAACAATAGGCTTTTGAATGAACTAGGATAACACTTATGTCACATAAATTTGTCACTGCATCACTTCTACCAGTTCTCTTAGTATTAAATAGACTCTTGAGTCAGGAATGCTGGCTACTATAGACTTGTGTGGCTTTGAGCAAGTTGGTTAACTTGTGTGCCTCTGTTTACTTACATATAAAATGGGGATAATAATACTTCCTACATTGTCAGAGTGTTGTGAAAGTGCCTAAGGTCCTTAGATAAAAGGTAGTATGTGAGTACCAGAGTAGTTATTATTGGTCTATAAAGTGCCCTAGGAACTACAGATTAAAGAGATTATTGAGGTACAAAGCACTGTTTTATTATTGTTATCATTTATTATACCTTTTGTCTTTGCCATTCTCAGTATTCCCAAAGATATTTCACAGCCAGGCTGCTCCCAACATTGCACCAAGATATTTTTAGCTGAGTTGGTCCTACATTGTTTACACATCATCAATCTTTATGTATAGAGTTCTGATGTAATAATCCTCAAAGACTCAGTGCTTGATTTCTCAACTTCGGCATTATTGACATTCAGGGCTGGGTAAATTTTTGTTCTGGGGTTTTCCCTGTTCATTGTAGGATATTAAGCAGCATCATTGATTTCTACCTACTAGATACCAGTAGCCTCCTCCCTCCTATCCCCATTGTGCCATTGCCAAATGTTCAGGATTGGTGATGGGGTCCTGGGTGACAATGAGAACCATTGAATTGGCCTGAAATAACTAATTTTAGCGACCCATTGCCCTTAATAGTAAAGAAAAATATGATGATGCTAATAAAACAATTTATTTTTAAATGTCATAGTGAAACTTATTATGTATGTTAAGTCTTACTTAATGTTTTCCAGACAGTGGATTAGCTATGCTATGATGTGAAATAACTTGTTTCTATATGTTGAAATAACTAATAATATATTGGGAAATAGCCACTTTGACTTCAATGCAAATATTTCTGGAACATATCCTTAAATCAAAATAACACATTTGCATACTATAAAAAGTTAAATAATTTAGTTCCAGAGGATTATAACAAAAGACAGCAATCCCTTCTTACCGTCCCAACTACAAAAAACCCTTATGCAGAAATTTCAACTCTACTTACTGTTTCTGCTCTTTGTGAGGGTTTTTTAAAATTAAATTATTTATGTATTCTAATTTGTTATACATGATAGCAGAATGCAATTCATTTCATATTACACAGAGCACAATTTTTCAAGTCACTGATTGTACACAAAGTATTTTCACATCATTTGTGCCTTCATACATGTACTTAGAGTAATGATGTCTAACTCATTCCACATCATTCCTACCCCCTTAACCCCTCTCTTCCCCTTCCTCCCCTTTGCCCTATCTGAAGTTCCTCCATTCTTCCCATGCCCCCCCCATTGCCATTATGAGTCAGCATCCTCATATCAAAGAAAAAATTTGGCCTTTGATTTTTTGGGATTGGCTTACTTTACTTAGCATTATATTCTCCAACTCCATCCATTTACCTGCAAATGCCATGATTTTATTCTCTTTTAATGCTGAGTAATGTTCCATTGTGTATATATATCAAAGTTTCCCTATGCATTTATCATCTATTGAAAGGCATCTGGGTTGATTCCACAATTTAGCTATTGTGAATTATGCTGCTTGTAAGAGTTTTTTAATGTACTTATCTACTAGTGTACTTAATTTTTACATTTTTAGATGTCTTACTAAAGGAGAGGATTTAGCTGTCTTAAGCTATACATATACTTTTCTTACTCCTATATTCCCACTGTATTTATATCATAATTCTTATTGAATACATATTCAATGTGTACAGTATGGTTACAATACAAATACAGCAGAGCTATGTGGTATACTATGAATGCATTTCTGTCATGTCTTTTACAATTGTTTTTCCTTAAAGAACCACCATTCCTGGGGCTGGGGATGTGGCTCAAGCGGTAGCATGCTCTCCTGGCATGCGTGCTGCCCAGGTTCGATCCTCAGCACCACATACAAACAAAGATGTTGTGTCCACCAAAAACTAAAAAAAAAATATTAAAAAATTCTCTCTCTCTTTTTTTTTTTAAAAAAAAGAACCACCATTCCTTTTTCTGCAGTTACAACTCCCCATTGTTTGTTTTAATCACTGTCATGTTTTTCTATATACTATACACAAATTTACACCCACATTGGTAATCTATCAGTTCTGTTTCTCTTTTTTTTTAGGGACATCTCTCCTGGAGCCCTCTATCCCCTGGATTGATTTTAAGGCCTCTTTCTCTGTCGTCATCCAGGAATTATGTTTTTATTATAACACTTGGAATCATTTTCTGTGCAGACCACTTATTTCACAAATTCCATATTTTCCTTCTTGTTGTTTCTCACTTATTTTAGTGAAGTCCATCCTCAATATATTCTGGAGATGGTATAAATTACACATTCATGGAGACTGTGCATGATGGAAATTAGTTTAAATTTGTCTTCCCAGTTGATTAAT